ATTAGTTTTATATATATATATATATATAATGTATATATATATATATATACACTTAAAAAAAATGCTAGGTTATGTTTTTTTAACCCAAATGCTGGGTTCAGCCTGTTGGGTGATTTTTTTTATATATATATTTTTTTACCAGGGTGCTAGGTAGTTTTTCTGAAACTCAGCTGCTGGGTCATTTTTACTGTCAATACAAATGATGAACCCCTCACACCACCTCCCCAGTGCTGGGTCAGTGTAATGTTGGGTAAAGCCTGATTTATATTGAAACCGGAGAAGTAATAATTGTAATAATTGAAGTTTTAATTCACCTTCACCTTCAGACTTGTACCACATTTCACAACCCATTTCACCACAACATCAGACATTTCACCACACGCAAACAAGCTCAATAAAATGACAGATCATGCAGAGTGAGTCTGATCATGGAAGGGCAAACACTTCCCCATTTTAACGATATCGAAGCGCAGCAGTGCATGGTGAGTTAATCATCGGACAGCTGTGACAGGAAAGATAAGAGTCGTCTTGGTATGAGATATTCAGCTGCTGCCGAGGGGAAGAACGGACCACTGCAGGTTTATTTGTCTATACAAAAATGAAAAATGAAGATTCTTGTTGTTTCGAACCTGTATGACTTGCTTTCCTCCGTGGTCACGCTGCCATGCAATGTGCAATGAAATCATATACAGTACTTGTTAAAAGTATGGAAACATTACAATTTTTTACAACTCAAAAAATACAGTAAAAACGGTAATATTGTGAAAACATTTTTACAGTTTAAAATAGCTGTTTTCAATGTGAATAATAATAAAATGTAATTAATTGCTGCGATCAAAGCTGAATTTCCTTCAGAAATCATTCTAATATGCTGACTTGCTGCTCAAGAAACATTTCTGATTATTATCAATGTTGAAAACAGTTGTGTTGCTGAATATTTATGCAGAAACCATGATATACTACCATTTAAATGTTTTGTTTTAATAGAAATTAATGCTTTTATTCCGCAAATATGCATTACATTTATCAAAAGTGCCAGTAAAGACATTTATAATGTTATGAAAGATTTCTATTAAAAAAATGCTGTTCTTTTGAACTTTCTATTCATCAAAGAATCCTGAAAAAAATGTTTCCACAAAATATTAAGCAGCAAAAAACTTTTTTAGCATTGTTAATGATAAGAACCATTATTAATGACTGAGCGCCAATTTTAATTAAGCAGCAAATCAGCATAGTAGAATGAATTCTGAAGGATCATGTGACACTGAAGACTGGAGTAATGATGCTGAAAATTCAGCTTTGATCACAGCAATAAATTACATTTGAACAGATATTCACATAGAAAACTCATTTTAAATTGAAATAATATTTCACAATATTACTGTATTTTTGAGCACTTAAATTCAGCCTTGGTGAGCAGAACAGAATTTATTAAAAACATTTAAAGGGGTCATATGATGCGATTTAAAATGTTTCCTTTCTCTTTGGAGTGTTATAAGCTCTTGCAGCATAAAGATCTGTAAAGTTACAAAGTCTAAAGTCTGAAATCCAAAGAGATATTCTTTATAAAAGTTAAGAGTCAACCTAAAACGGCTCGTTCTAACACGCCCCCACATGTCTACGTCACGATGTGGGAAGATTTGCATAACGCCACCCAAATGTTCACGCAAAGAATTTCATTACTTTCATTACACCAAATACACAAAATAATGTTCTTTTTAGCAGCATCATATGACCCCTTTAAAAATGTTAATGTTTCCAATACATACAAGTACTGTAGTCCTACAAATTCAGGTTGTGAGTGACATTAGGTTGAGTAAATAATGACAAAATGTAATTTTTGGGTGATCGAGTAAATAAGGGTGTTTTTGTTTCATAAGAGATTGCTTTGCTTTGTGTATTTGCAAGATTTGCATATGCGAGAAAGTCGTGCAAATGTGTACACAACATGACTGTGTGTGTGTGTGTGTGTGTGTGTGTGTGTGTGTGTAGTCCTTTAAACTCGGCCTTGATGACCCACATCCACATATCGAATGAGCGAATCCGGAATCACATCATCAGTCTGTTCTCGACCTCTGTTTTGGTCCATACGGTGAATCACTGTTTCCTGTGGCGTTATCAGCGGTGTAGAGGTTACCCGGCCTCTACCGTGACGAGTTGCGTAGTGGTGGGTTAGACCTCTGTGACCATTTATACATTTAGCTGATGCTTTTATCCAAACACGAGGAATTAAACAAAGTGATTTGTCATGCAAGTTCTGAGATGGTGAAAGTATAGGGATTTTTTTTTGGTGAAACACTTTACAGTAAGGTTGCAATTGTTAATATTAGTTAACTACATCAGTTAGCATGAACTAACAATAAAAAATACCTCTAAAGCATTTGCTAATCTTACTCTATTTTCCATTTTCATTTTAAATTTTGTTAACACTTTATATTAAACTTCATATATAGAGCTTTGCGATTTATATATATATATATATATATATATATGTGTGTGTGTGTGTGTGTGTGTGTGTGTGTGTATAATGTATTTTTAAAAATGCAAATTCATTAAATAATAATTATATATTATAAATATACTTAATATGTATGTATAATTAAAATGGGTTAATTATAAATAATTAAAATACTTTACGTGAGTCGATGTACTTGTATAATTCATTATTAATTATTATAAGTATGTTTCAGGCTCAAAGATAAATATCTGAATTCAGTTTGTTTTGCACATTGAGCTCCAGTCTCTCTCATAAACACACTGAAGTCACCTCTAGCACCAGCATGTGTTGACGCTCTGTATTCAGCGCTTTTACGCTAGGACTGTTCCGATGTGTCACCTTCACAGCGAGGTGTTTACACTACTAATTCACTCGTGTGTTTGATGCAGCGGATTGTTTGTGGTGTGTTTATTACTATAACAGGCACAGAAAGGGCATGGGTGCGGCGCTGGTAGTTTCACTACTATCTCTGAGTTAAGAAAGAAAAAGCTCTTCCTCTCCATGGCACATGAGGCCTGTGTAGTGGTGAGAGAGATCTAGAGAAGTGAGTTCCTCTAAAGTTCGTGGTTCACACCCTTATACTGAGCACCAGTGTTCCCACGGTTGGCTAAATATGTTTATGCCAGGTTCTCACACTCCTCTGGAACTGTAAATGCTGTACGTTTCTGATCTGTATGACACTTTGAAACTTCTTCTTATGTGTTTTCACTTTGAATGATCCTGCTGAACACTTCATGCAGAATATTAATGGTGCAGCTTTCACATGTAAATGTTACCATCATTCCTTTCTAAGCCACTTTAGTTCTTTATTTTTCTTTAATGCATTTCTTTTTCAGGTGAATCTCATGAAAATATGTATGGGTCATATTTTATCCCAAAGTTAAATCATTTTAGGACCAAAAAGATTTTTGCATTGTGACATTTAAGCTATTTTAGCACTAAATTAATTATTTTACTACTTTTTTTTTTCTCAGGGGTTTAATAGTAATTTCAATAGTGATCATCATTACTGTAATATAGCATCTTTTACTTAAAAATACTGTTATACAATAATTTTTAAAGTGTTTAAATGAACAAAAAACATACAAGTACTTTACAATTTATATATACTGAATTATGTATGTATATACTGTATACAAAATAAAAAATTGCATTAAAGTAATTATTTATATAGTGAGTTATATACACAATTTATTTTGTTAAAAAAAATCAACATAAAAAGCATTACAACAGGTATGTTGCTTTTAAAATTTATATAATACAATTTACATTTAAATTTTTTTACATTTAAATTTATTTTACAATTAAAATGTATATAATATAAAATACAAATCATTGCATTACAATAATGAGTTTAATTGCATATATCTTAATTGTCACTATCAGATCATCACAGTAATACAATATTTTTTTAATTACAAAAAAGCATTAAAACAGGTATTTTACAATTAGAAATGATATAATACAATTTACAATAAAAAAATGTGTATTTAAATTTATTTTACAATTAAAATGAAAGTTTAATAATCTAAATTAAAAATAATGTAATTACAGTAATGCATTTAATTGCATATATGTTTTTGTTGCTTGTTCTTGACAGGTTTTGTGAGATTCACCTCATATCGAGCTCATTTAAATCTTGTTGGTTGGTTTTGGTGCACCGCTGGTGAATATGAGCCTTTTATCTAAGATGCCTCACTTTGTGGAGAAAACAATCCCAGAATGCATTGCAATGAACTTGCTGAAAAAATGTATCTAAGAGAAATGTTTTTAAAAAAATATAATTTTATTATTATTATTACTATTATTATTATTACATACTATACATATTTATTTATTATAAATAATACAGATTTATTATTTATTATTTTATAATTTATTATATATTTAAATATATTTAAATGTACTTATTTCATGCAATAACAAATAGAATTCATAAAAAATGTATATAATCAATAATGTACTATTTTACTCAATATTTGGGTTTTTGCATATTCAAATATGGAATATAGTTTGAGTCTGAAGAAGCTGCTGAATTCATGTGGATTTTTACATCGTTTTCTTGATTGCTGTCACTTCTTTCTTCCACAAATCAAGGGTGTCCTTCATCTAGAGACCTTGAATCGCTTTGTGAAGGTCTTGTTCATCCAGGTTATTACAGAATTTGGAGAAAAGCAACTGGACTTTAAAGCAACTGCATTTATTATAGATGTTTTGCCGTCATTAGTTGATCGAAATCATCTGTACTGCTGATAAACAGCCATAATATTAAATAGCAATAATAAATAGCCAGTCATCACTCTTATTAGTGCTTATATGTGATTAAATGTTTGGTCAAATCATGTGAGATGCACTGTTATTTTACTAAGTGATCAGAGTAATAAAGTTCAGCTGCTTTTGACTGAATTCTACAGCACTTTTCATGAATTTGATGATCTTTTCTTGTACCTGAACTGCTCTGTTGGTGTTTGGGGGTCATCTTTGTTTTCTTTGACACTTTCAGGGAAGAATTCCGCCGTCACGTATAGCGGTTCAGGGGTTCATAGTCAAGGGTTTGGTGCTCCAGCCGTTCGAAAGACACAAACGGACAGAGGACCCGGCTGCTCGTCCTCAACGTTACCATCTGCTGTTAACCCGTCCTGTAGAGCTGTAAGTCCAGTGTCATGCCGTCTGATCATCTCCATCTAGCTAGTTTCTGCTGTCATAGTTTGTAGTTGCATCCGCTTCATCCCGACATTTGCCATCGCTGCTTCCTGCGCTGCTGTTTTGCCCGTTTGCATTGTCCCACGCGTGCTGATGCCAGAATCATGCCACGCTTTACACCTCTGTAAGATTTGCTTAACCTCAGGCCATCCAAGATTAGGATGAGTTTGTTTCTTCATCAGATTTGGAGAAATGTAGCATTGCATCACTTGCTCACCAGTGGATCCTCTGCAGTGAATGGGTGCCGTCAGAATGAGAGTCCAAACAGCTGATAAAAACCTCATGATAATCCACAAGTAATCCACACCACTCCAGTCCATCAGTTAACGTCTTGTGAAGACAAAAGCTGCATGTTTGTAAGAAACAAATCCCATCATTAAGATGTTTTAACTTCAAACTGTTGGTTTCAGCTGAAATATGAGTCCTCTATCTATAATATTGTTTTCTATAGTGAAAAAGTGGTCTGGTCTAAATCAGGAGAGAAATCTGCACAGATCAAGCACTGTTTACAAGCCAAAACAGCTCTAAACAAATATATGGCTGGATTTTGATGTGAGATGACAACAGGAGATGGACTTTTTCACTGGAGGAAGCGTTTAAAATAAAACGTTTGAATGATGGATTTGTTTCTCACAAACACGCAGCTTTTGACTTCTCAAGACATTAACTGATGGACTGGAGTGGTGTGGATTATTGTGATGTTTTTATCAGCTGTTTGGACTCTCATTCTGACGGCACCCATTCACTGCAGAGGATCCATTGCTGAGCAAGTGATGCAATGCTACATTTCTCCAAATCTGATGAAGAAACAAACTCATCTACATCTTGGATGGCCTGATGGAGAGTACATTTTCATCAAATGTTCATTTTCGGGTGAGCTATTCCTTTAAAGTGATAGTTTATCATTTATTCACCCTCATATTGTTCTAAACTTGTACAAGTCAGAAGTGCATTCAAATTGTGCACTATAATGTTTTTGCTAATAAATGCCTTAAGAACACACTTCAATGGTGCTTTTTTTGGAGCGACATGAAAACATGATTGATCTGTAGTTGAAGGATTTTAAAACTGGTGATGCAGCTGAACAGAAGCAACAAGAGTGTAGTTCTGTAGTGGAACAAACCCTTTGTTGAAGATTGAACCAGACGGCCTGTTTGCTTTCAGCCAAACCTTTGATATCAAGCGAGCTGGACTCATGAACACACATGGGTCATTCTTAGACTCTGCTAATATTTATGACCCTCAGACTTTTTAAAGTTAGTTCAACAAAATGTAATAAGCTTTTCAAGTCTGTGGAACAAAAATAGTTTTGATTTTCCTTAAAATGATGAGACCAATGATGCAGAAATTCTGCAGAGGAAACATCATTTACATACAGTTCATATTTAGTATTCAGCAATCTGATTAGAATCAGTAACAGCTGTTTGATGTATAAGAAGCATCCATCTTCAGTGGCATCCATAACAGGGTTGAAGACAAAAATCTGCTTATTTGTCTTACTCCAATAGTTGTTTATTGTTTTAGACAATACATTTTATACATACATTTGACTTTGATACATTTATGCTTTGAATAAGACAAAACAATTTGCTAATAAGGCAAAATAAATTGTATTCCAGATAGATTATCTGAAAGCAGGTCTGTTACAGTTTTTCCTTTTGTTTTAAGGATGTCTAAATGTTTTTTTTTTTTTTTTTTTACAATTTCTAGCTCTTGGTTTCTGCAACAACTTTAGCACCATTTTTCCTGTGCAATATTATTTTCTTTCACTCAATCAAACAGCATATGAAAACTACTTGTGCATGTTTGACAACAAAAGCTTGAATACCCATGACTCTCATGGTAAGAATAAAACTTTAGGATCATTTTAAATGTTCTTTCATATTCTTGAAGTACATTAAAGTGACCTTACAAACTCATCATTACAATATGACCTCAGAATGACACTTTGGTCTAGAAAAGTGAGAAGCTTTTACCAAAGCACTTCCTGTTTTCTGACACTAGTGGCAACTGGCTTCACCACAGTGTCACAGTTACTTTACGTTGTTTTTGCAAATGTATATATTTTTTTTTTTTTACATTTAAAATAATATTTTTTGAATAAATGCATTAAATCAGTTTCAGTGGAATTAAGTGTATTTGCTACGGAAGACACTCAGTTGTGTTAATTGTGCAAGTATCACTGCTAAATTGTTTTGCACAACCTTATTAGATCATATCAGGAGTAAACAGTTTAGTAGAATTGAACTTTAATAGTTAAACATCTATCATTCAGGTCAAATCCAGGTCAGCTGGGCCAAAAGTGGCTCGGCTGACCTGAATGCACCCTGTGTTGCATGGCGTTTGTGCTGTGCCCTGCTGTGCAGATGCAGTTTGCATGTTGCATGAGGTTTTGTGTTGTGTATGCCGTGCTGCTTGTGTCTTCAGAGCTTTGCTGTAATTTGTCTTTCTCCCAGGCACTGAACACATGAAGGTAAGGTGAAACGTGGGTCTGCCGACCACATCTGAGCTGCTGCATGTGTTTGTGTCAACAATAAAACACCTACTCCACCCTGCGTGCACACAAATCTCTTCACAAATCTCCCTGAGAAATCAGACCGTATATTGAAGCTCTTTAAAACAGCAGCAGCAAATGTAAGACCAGCTGACCAATCGCAGTGAGAAAAGAGCGGAGATACAGTTCGTGATTGATTCAAATAAGCTTTAGAAAGTATAGAAATGGTTTTGTAATAGGAAGTATTTGGATACAGAAATTGCACTTAAAATGTCTGAATGCAATTGCATTAGATGCATTTATTTTCATGTAAAATAGCACACTTTTCAAGCAAATGTAATAAAAAGAGTGGAAAAGAAATAGGTTTTCAACTAAATGTATTATTTTATAATTGTTTAGTGTCATTTTTTCTCATGATTTTGACAACTTTTGATCATAAAGTATGTTTTTTGCATCCTTTTTTACATTAAATGATATTCTATTATCTAATGCAAGCACATTCAGAATACATTATGTATGATTTAAGTGACTAAATGCTTTATAGGTCATCTTTATATTTCACCATAAGAAAGAGACTGGGCAAAAATGGTCTGCATGGCAGAGTTCCAAGACGAAAACCGCTGCTGAGCAAAAAGAACACAAAGGCTCGTCTCAGTTTTGCCAGAAAACATCTTGATGATCCCCAAGACTTTTGGGAAAATACTCTGTGGACTGACGAGACAAAAGTTGAACTTTTTGGAAGGTGTGTCGCATTACGTCTGGCGTAAAAGTAACACTGCATTTCAGAAAAATAACATCATACCAACAGTAAAATATGGTGGTGGTAGTGTGATGGTCTGGGGCTGTTTTGCTGCTTCAGGACCTGGAAGACTTGCTGTGATAAATGGAACCATGAATTCTGCTGTTTACCAAAAAATCCTGAAGGAGAATGTCCGGCCATCTGTTCGTGACCTCAAGCTGAAGCGAACTTGGGTTCTGCAGCAGGACAATGATCCAAAACACACCAGCAAGTCCACCTCTGAATAGCTGAAGAAAAACAAAATGAAGACTTTGGAGTGGCCTAGTCAAACGCTTGATTGCAGTTGTTGTTGCTAAGGGTGGCCCAACCAGTTATTAGGTTTAGGGGGCAAACACTTCTTCACACAGGGCCATGTAGTTTTGGATTTTGTTTTCCCTTAATAATAAAAACCTTAATTTAAAAACTGCATGTTGTGTTCACTTGTGTTATCTTTTACTAATATTTAAATTTGTTTGATGATCTGAAACATTAAAGTGCGACAAACATGCAAAAAAATAAGAAATCAGGAAGGGGGCCAACACTTTTTCACACCACTGTATGTATATATATATATATATTCTGTGTGATTTTGTAATGGCTCTCATAAAGCGAATAGTTCATGATGATTTGCCTTCATTCCCTGTGTGTTCGGTCACTGGTAACTTACATTTGATGGAAACCAAAGGCTTCACAGCTTTGGTTGTTTTCTTGGCTTTCAATCACTGGCTGCACGACAGATGATATAAATGATAATCAGTGTGTTTTTGACCAATTAAAAAAAAGAGAAAATCACGTCAGATCGGATGTTATATAATTTTGCACACATCACTTGTGCTCATGTGAAATTAATGATTTTATTCACCGTTATGTGATTTGATATGAGGGCTGGGCAATATATTGAACAGTCATGTATTCATGATGCTTTTACTGGTGGTGTAAAATTAAGCAACATTATGAATATTGTGGTGGTTTTGATGCACTTTTTATTTGGCTATTAAGTAGAGCTGCAGGATTAATCAAAATAAAATCAAAATCATGCACTTAATAACAAGAGAAGCGTTAAAGGGGTCATATGGCGTTGCTAAAAAAGAACATTATGTTGTGTATTTGGTGTAATGAAATGTGTTTATGCGGTTTAAGGTTAAAAAAACACATTATTTT